CTCTATGGATTTTCTTTAACACTCAACAGGCAGATAATCCGTACTTTCTCTGCCTAGGCAGAAGAATGTTGTTGCTACACAGTAAAAAAAATAGAGTGAAATTTAACACTATACCTGTTCCCAGGAGGACCACTAAGCTCTAGAGTAATGATTTAACTCTATAGTTTATTATATTATAGTGTGATTTTTTCAATTCAATTAGTGTAAATGTTCAATGGAAGCACATTGAAACTTACTCTATTTATTTCTCTAAATATATTAAATGAACACAAAAATAGAGTTGAAAGACCCCAAGCTAGTGTCAAATATCATCACTTCAGAGTGAAATTCAATAACTGAATATTACATAGTCACAAAGGTTGAGAGTTGGGAATATAATAGTATACAGAGTAGATTTTACACTATGAACAGTATCGGATCCACCGGAAATTGATTGTATTAATTACACTACCTGTATGTCAAATGACTCCTGCATTCTTCAAATTGACACTACCTTATGTTTAGGTGCTAATAAGGAGTTATCATTTATTCATCATTTTAGATTGATATAAAACACTAGTTGAGTAAACTAGTCACTACTTCCTATTGAGATTTCATCCAAGTTAGATTAACTATTATTTCACATGTCACAGTATTCATTGGACTCCGACAGACGTTCAGCGGCGAAATCTCGGCATAGTCTCTGCAGCGCCACCTGCATGCAGTGGCGCGAATTGACGGATGAGAAGTAGTGTGACTTTATAATATTTTAATAGTTTGATATTTGAAAAATGACTCGAGTCCCACTAGACTACTTAGTTAACCAATCTGTTTCATGAATCGTTCGAAATAATAATTCGAAACGGAAAAAACGGAAAATAACTGAGATAGGTATATACGAAAATACGTTAATAACTCAATATTGAGAAAAATCTCTCACTACGAGGGTAAAGTAAAAAAGCTACTTGAAGCTAATATCGTGATCATTATATCATTGACACTATATCAGTATTACTTTCCACTATCCAGTAGACTGAACGATCTGAACCTGTATAGATTGATATTACATCGTATATAGATTGAATTGAACAATGATAGAGTGTCAATTTAATCGACACGAGTGGAACATTCAAGTTCACTAGTGTCAGTTAACACTAGTATGAATTCAATCTCAATTGTAAGTGAATTGAGTTATCTGAATTGCTATTTTATTAAAATTTTAGGAATATAGAGTGAATTCAATACGACATTAGTGAAAATTCAATCTAGAATTATCTTCAATAGAGATAATCTGCGAGAAGTGTAGTTATAGAGTTGATTGCAGTATCAGAGTGAGTTTGCAAGAGTATTTTAACTCTAAAAACATACTCTGCGAATTTAACTCGAAGCGATTTCATACTGTGTATGTTCATCATACAGGACGTGAAAAGAAACTCTGAATTGAGAAAACTTAATCACGAATATGTGATTGAGGTCCAAAAAATAACAAGTTTTCATCGTTCAGGTTTGAACCCCTTGATTGGATTAAAGTAGCGAAATGGAATATTCTCATATATGATTATGAAAGAGATGTATAGAAATTCAACTGGTGCGCTTACTGCCTATTCAAGGTCATTTGCAAGTTTCTCGATGGCGCCTACTCTGATAAACCTTTGATAAACATCCTTGACGTGGGTAAATCTCGCTAAGCTCATCCTGGTTACAATCCATATTTACAGGAAACATATTACCGACCGATAAATATTTGGATACGTATATGATTTGGATCAGAGCAGTGAACTGATTTCTGATCGAAGGATCGAAACGTCAATATGTCAAAAATATTCTCAACATGCTAGTTTGTATACACGTATTGAGAAAGTACGTTCAAGAATAAGTTCAAGGTATTTTCTGAAAAAATCCCTAGGTTTTAGAGGTATCTTTTGATTCTTTCACTGAGAAAATCAGAAGATCAATGAAAATATCTTCCAATTTGAATTGAATTCTTGGTGCATTCGCAAGTAGTACCTATATGATTAGTTGTTAGTTGAATTTGTACTTACTTTTGGTACAGATAACATACAGAATTGCGATTTTTTATACGATTTGCATATATTGCAGCAACGCCAGTCCATGATGAAATATAAAGACTAAACACTATAAACCAAACAAACATCGAACCTACTAAACAACAATTAAAGAATTAAACACTAATGAACAACAATTACAAGATAAAAACACTAAACACTTTATATCTCGTAAGAATTTTCCGAATTTTCGAATCTAAATCGCTGAATACGAATTGACAGATGTCACTGACGGAACTCGACCACAGAATAATGATGGAAATAGATTCATCCCTCACAGAACCAAGGTTTTGAACGATTTTCCGATTATGGCACCTCTATCGTCAAATAGCTGAACCCCACGTCCAAAACTCGCTTGCAATTGTTCCATATCGAAAGTTAGTCTGACGAAACAATTGAAGAGTGAGCCAACCAGTTGAATTTCTATACATCTCTATTATGAACATAAAAAAATTGAAAATAAACCCATACATTGAGAATTCGCATTCTCTATAAATTGAAAATATCAATCCTGCCTTGGTTTATTCGACAGTAAACAACTACTTTCCTGGCTATATACCGCGACGAAAATTGCATTATATCTATCAAACACACACGATGAGAATTTGAGAACGAAATCAAAATGGATGACATTTGTGTCGGTTGCAGAAAAACGGTATTCTTTGCTATACCGAACGAAAATTCACAGAATTGTCAAACTTCATTGATGTATGTATGTTCGATAGATGTAGTGCAATACCCGATAATTGATATTCCGATCACATAGAGAGTACGAATTCAATGTATTTCTTTATATAAATATATACAAAGGTGAAACTAGGTTTATTGGGGAATGCAGCGAAGTGAAAAGAGAACTCCTTAAAGTTTGTCCAAGCTTTCGGAATATTATATTTCCATCATTAGGGGGTAATCTTTGTTGAGGTTGGTTCACATTGAGGTTGATAATGATGAAATTGTATAAGATGATAATGACATAGTTGAGAAGACGAACAAAAAACAGGATCAATCACAATTGTGTGAAATTAGTTAATTCGTAAAATGTTGAGAATGTGAGAAACATGTGAAAAAATCATCATTTAAGCGGAAAGTTCTCATGATGTATAGTAGTTTTTTTTTCTGTTTTTTTCTTCTGATTGTTCATTTCTCATAATATCACAAATATTACAGTACTTATATAAAATCCAAAATCAAATTTAATTTCAGAACTAAGATTCGGATAACATCCACCATATGTGTACACATGTGTATGACAAACTCAATGAATCTGTATACCAATAGAGATCTTTTCACAGACTATAACATCAAATCAACACTTTCAAAACTCAGCTGGATAGCAATCTAACTCAATCAACCTTTATGTAAGTTACTAGTAGTACTTACAAAAATGCTTCAGTCTTATTCCACTTGAATGTGACTCTAACATGCTAACATGAAGGATTTGTTAGACTGCTATCCAAGTACCTCTGATAATTAATGACAGTACCTCTAGCACAGTTGAAAAACTAGGAAACAAGGTTATGAGAATTCTTCTTTGAAGTAGGATCTACTACATCATGAGTACTTGCTGCTTGAATGATGATTTTTTCACATGTTTCTCACATTTTCAACATTTTACAAATTAAATAATTTCACACAATTGTGATTGTGATCCTGTTTTTTGTTCGTCTTCTCAACTATGTCATTATCGTCTTACCTTTACAATTTTATCATTATCAACATTAATGTGAACCAACCTCAACAAAGATTACCCTGATGATGGAAATATAATATTCCGAAAGCTTAGACAAACTTTGAAGGGTACTCTTTTCACTGTGCTGCATTCCCCAATAAACCTAGTTTTACCTCTAACTAGTCAGCAACTACTACCCTCTCACATAAATATATAAATATATATCCATTTTCTATGTTCATAATTATATCTGATGAGAATATTCCTTCTGAATACCTAATTATTTTCGAAAAAGAGGAGGAACTCTCGATAATCATCCATAAAACGAGTTGTATTTGTGAAGATCATTTTACTCATTATTTCATGGATGGAACAATAATTCTATCTCGTATTTTCGTATGCAGTTGTGTTTTATGCACAACATACATCGAAGAATTTAGCGCGTCATCACTGACAGCGGTACACTCCACTATTAACTGTCGAATGATTCAAGGATCATCATGTTCGGAATTATGTTATGGTATGGAGGATATAAATTGATTCGTGAGTTCATCAGGTTGATATTGAAGGTGTTCGAAATGTCGATACCTATACTACGAAATTCTGTATACCTGATACCTATTCTTCGATACAAATTATAAGTGGATACCTATCACAATTTTGTGTTGAGTTCCTGAATATGGAAATAGTATGACATCCATAACAGCTTGCTGCTAGTGAGTGATTCTGTTTAATATTTGATCGAACTACCAATGAGGAACCGAAATATGAAAACGAAAACGGGAGAATCCCTACTCATTAACTCAAAAACTTTCGTTTCATCTCATTATCGGAGAAGTATACGAATGTCTTAGTAGATTCGAGCCTAGTTTTATACACTCATGTGAACGTGACTGAAGAATTGATCTTTCAGTCTTAAGAAAATGTGATACGTTAGATTATCTATCTAACTTTGACACAAGCCGAAACCATCCTGTCTACTTCACCAAATGCAAAGTTTCCTCAAATAACTACTGAGAGTGTTTTTTTATCATTTATCCAACAGTCTCAACAGTTTCATTGTCCACCATATTATATCATCAATCATGAAAATTGATGAATATATCCGTGACAAAGAGAATTGAAATTGAACCTCTATCGTAATCACACAGATATGAAAAGTGAATTCATGAAGAATAATGAATAACATGAAAATGGTGGCCATAAAAGATGAGTATAGGTACATATTTGATTAGTATTTATGTGAAGAAATATTTCCCATATACATGTCAAGTGCATCAGGTGATATAAAAATATATATCCGCTCCATACATAACCATTTCAGTATTATTTGCTTACGTTCATAGAACATGTTAACGATGTTAACTCTCTTAACAAAAGTGATTCTGATCTTGGGTATGTTGATAGGTATTTGAACTACTCGCTCATTGAGCTGACTACTGATATTCCGTTTTCATTCATGTTGAGCGTAGATGTTTCTGAAAAGGATTGATTTATACCAAAATTATATGAGTTGAAAATGACATTAGTTCAATAAATAGGTATACTAGAGGAGATCCCACTCGCAATGTAAAATATTGTTCATGGTATTTATCATAATAATTATTTCTCAAACATTCGGATCGATGAAGGCTATTCATTGATCTTCGTCTTCACAACTGTCCATGAATGCTCATAATCTTGGTCAATAGAGACTTTCCATCAGGTATCCTTGGAAAGGTATCGTCAGACATCAATCAGGACTTGAGGATAATAGGTGGACAAGATGCTGATATTGCAGACTATCCGTATCAACTATCCCTGAGCACTGAGGATATAGGACATTTTTGTGGAGCAGTTCTTATTTCACCAACATGGGCACTATCGGGGGCACATTGCATGTTATAGTAAGTAATTGGATTGACTTCAAGAATATTCGCATGTCATCAAGTGGATATCGAAACGTTTCAATCTTGTCAAAACTTCCGGCGCCGTGAGTATTTTGATTTTTTTCGCCGTGGGCCAAAAATGTGTTTTGATGCAAAACTATCCAATCAACGGTTCTGCGAGTGTGCTATAATGTTAATTGGATTGCCTTCAAGAATATTCGCATGTCATCAAGTGGATATCGAAACGTTTCAGTCTTGTCAAAACTTCCGGCGCCGTGAGTATTTTGATTTTTTTCGCCGTGGGCCAAAAATGTGTTTTGATGCAAAACTATCCAATTAACGGTTCTGCGAGTGTGCAATAATGTTACGCTATTGTTATTGCAGTGTATACAATAATGTTACACCTGGCGACGAAAGTGTTGATAATATTAATCTCACTTTCTATCATCACACCCCCATATTCATCAGGAAACTGTGTGCATCCTTCATAATTTGCATGATCATTCGTTCTATCTTTATTTCTCTTGAAGTATTCGATGTAAAAGAACCACACATATATGTTGAACATGAGTTGCCAATGTCCCGGCTCAAACCAGTGGCGTAACCAGAACTGTACCTTGTACATTATTTCTCCGAATCACATTTTTATTCATGATCGTTGGTATCTACAAAAATCTAGTGCATTTCAGGATAAAATCTGAGCGCCTCAGCTATCGATCTCAAAATATTCATTCAAATACCTGATATTCTTGTTACATTTTGATTGCGGCTTTGGATAATCATTTTAGAAATATCAGGGAAAATATTTTTTTTCTTCGGAACTATGTGAAAAACTGCATGTTATCAGGAGTCACAAAATGAAAATAATCATTCAGTCTTTCCGGTGAAGGCATTTGAAATCCTTGATATCACCCCTAAGCATATTCTGAGAAAAAGGTCAGTGGGTGAGGGTGGTTTTGAACCATTTTTATTTTCTTTTGGGTTCCTGAAAAGTGCACTTTCATGTAAACATTTGACTTTCCTTATAGGAAAACGGTAAATTTGGAATGACAATAATCAAGTAGGTCCAATCAACTTATTTTGACCTCCATTACACATGGTTGCTCTGCCAGCAATTTTGGGACACCCTTGATATTCATCTTAAACGGATACTGCACCGTGTGAAAAGTCACCAATATCTCCTGAATGGATTTGTTTCTGAGATTCTGGATGTTCTTCGAGATAACTAATGCAGAATTGTTATTCAGCTTTAACGAAAAATATATTTCATCAGTTACAACTCCTGATGCTCAAGCCATACTCCATCAACTTTGTTCATTTGAGCATGCGCCTTCTACACAACAAACAATGACACAGAACCCTTATAATGTAGATGGAAACGAAATACGTAGAGAAAGGTGTCATCTCATCGGCATATGTGGCGGAATATATCTCCTCAACCCCCGTAGGTTCTCGAGTGGTTCAAACATCTGACACTCTTGAGCAGAGTGAATATGGCCATTTGGCTATAGTCGAGCGTTTAGAATTCCTCAACCCCCCGTAGGTTCTCGAGTGGTTCAAACATCTGACACTCTTGAGCAGAGTGAATATGGCCATTTGGCTAGTCGAGCGTTTAGAATTCATTTTTCTCTCGAAGTGACTCAACTTTTATTCGACTCATTCTCCAGATCACTAGTTGCATTCATACGACTTGTCAAATCCCCCTTTCATTATACAGTTAACATAACATCGAATGATGTCATGACTTCATAATTACCTCGAGAAGATTGTCTCTTGTTCATATTCGTATCACAGAGTGCACACAATTTTTTCTCAATTCTCTTCCTGATATAATATAATAATCAATGATAATTCCTTTCAGTCTCAACGCTTCTTCGATTACTGTTCTCTCCAACTCTTCCTCTATCAACACGGGACTGAGAACAGCTGTATCAAAAATAATTACCCATGAAAAATACGACTACGATTCTGCAAGAAATGATATAGCTCTTCTTCAACTAACAACACCTATCATCTGCTCCAATTGTCAGATAATTAAGTTAGGGGCCGCTGAACCTCGAAAAGATGAAATGATAACGATAACAGGCTGGGGAACCACGAACTCGAATGATACCCTTACAGGTAAGATAACTACTCTGGAATGTTTTGATAAGGTGATCAAAGTATATCGATAACTCACTTCAAATTCTTCTTGATTCCACGTAGAATAGTTTCCACATGTTTTTTCTTCATGTCACACGCCACAGAATGGCAGTGCAATTTTGAATTGATTTGATAGCATAACATCAAATACGATGTGAACTTGTTTCACTCAGTATATATTCAGCCAGATCGAAGATGAAAAATTACCCCACTTCTCAATCATCGCAATAGAGTATACTGTCATGGTTCGCAGTGGCTTCAGATCTGCAGACAATCTGCACAACTGAACGCTTCAGATTCATACCCTCATCCAAATAGTTCAGAGATAACATGGAGACGTTGTCATCTCAAGAAGATCCCCAACATCTGCCTACATGGCTATGCCAATCTCTATTCATTGAGTACATCAGCTCGGCATTATTGATGATGAATAACAACTTCAAATGTTCAAAAATTGACAGATCGACATGTTATTGGCAAGGTGATCGACCGTTGGGGGCGCTGTTTCAAAACAAGATGGCGGCAAAGAGTGTGTAGTTTGTTTACAAAATTTCTTGAGATTTGCAAACATTTTCTTCTTGATATTTCATCGTGTTATTTGTGTTAATTGTTGAACTTTGAACTGAAATCATAATTATATTTGTTGGATCTTACTGTTTCATCGTTATGTGAGGAAAATTACTGTTACCTACTGACTGAATCGTGGACCAAATTTCTTCAAACCAGTGCATTTCTGTGGGACAGCTTTATGGGATATCAAAAATTACAAGCATATCCACTATCATCAGAAGCTGATATATTCACCATCATACTTCTATAACTCCACTCTTCAAGCAAAAGGATCCAACAGACCACAAATGGTGATACCAGGAGTGAAGTTTTTCAACAGTGAACAGCCTTCTGTGAACATATTGAAAACCATCCCTGAACAATGTGTTAACCTATTCGACTATTTTGTGTTAAATATTATAATCATGTGCAATTGATCCATACAATAGAAATCAGCAGCAACCAGCTCTAATGAGTCTAAACCAAGGAATAATTCAACACCAAAGGCATCCTGACATTACTGTGGATTTAATAGTAGATACAACAATATTACTTCCAGGCTTTGAGGAAAACATTGATCGAATGACCTAGGATTTCAGTTAATGTATTTACACAGTATATCATCATACATTTTGTGATTTGATATCATTTTGTAATCCTAAATTCATCTAATTGAAAATATCTATCTTATCAATCTGTATAGTTCATTATGTTTTGTATATTTTGGAACTGAATTAATAATAATTTCCGAAAATGAAAGTACATTGACATAACATGTGTTTTACTGTACTTATGCCACGCCAAAGAAGTCCAGAAAGAAGTACCAGAAGGATAGTCCAGTATACTCCTTCCCTCAGTGCTCATGTATACTGTTTTCCCCTGCATTATTTTACAAGATACCTTAATAAAAATTTACAATTATAAATGAATTTGAAATCCAGGACTTTCATGTATGTATAAATAAATTAACAATGAGCAAAAGTGAGTATCTCTCTGGTAGGTACCTATTTTAAAAGGAATCAGTAAAGATTAAAAAGTGAAACTTTGAAATTGCATCAAAAAAGAATGAGGTGTTGATTGAGGTAGTAAACCTACAATAAAACATTACAAAACAGAAAAAGAAAGTAGAACATTTACTTATGAATAAATACAGTTTAATAATAACATATAAGCAGTAAAATTATGAATACATTTTTCCAAGATACAATTTGAAATGTCATGGATATGTTCAAGTACCCAAATAATCAGTGATATATCCTTAAAAACTTGAATTCAACTTCAAGGAATCTGGGTTTTGGTTTCAATTTGTGTAACTAATTGCACTCAATTGCAAGATACCCTGGATGGCAACTCCTTCCCTGCTGAAAAATTGAAGAAATATTAGTACCTACTATAAACAAACCATATCTATTAGCTATTACACAATCTAAATATTCAAATAGAAATAAATTGTGTCACGTCAATGTATGTTCAAAGATTCAATTCAAGCTATGAAGTAAGCTACCTACAATGACCTGCTTGTACCAGGGTTATTATATATCTATAAAATGTGCTACTGTTTTTGCTCATATGAATGTAATTGGAGCTGTATTTTAACTTAATTTGCAAGGTGGCGAACTGTGACATACATTCTGAATCTAATCTGAAAAAAGCTGATGATGATGAATATAGCTAGCGTAAAGCTAACGAATAGCTAACGAATGGAAAACGAATGAAAAAAATAGAAGAAGAAGAAAAACTGGTAAACAATAACATATATAACCATAAGTGCACTCGAAGCAAAAATACAGAAAGTAGTTGGCTTCATTCTGACAGGTTATGGTTTCGTTATTTACGCATCGAATATCTCGAATAGAACTCGATCCTAAACGAAAATGTCATTGTATCAATGGATCACTATCGGCTACATTCAATGATACTATCCTTCCTAACTTCCTGCCATCTGTCAGAAAAGGATGAAGCCGACACCCATGGCTCTTTCTTCTTGTTGTGCCTGTCAGTATTTTGAGTGGTGTGGACGGACTCGAAGTATTCCATGAACTGAGTATAAATACCTTATATTGAGTTCAATGAAAGTATAAGGCGTTGTTGTAAGATTTAATCTGCAACTTTCTTAGAAAAAAGATCCGATTCCTTACTATTGCAAAATATCATAATGTATCTTTATTAGTTATCAACTTCATTCAGCCAAAGCCATTCAGACAAAGTTGGATTGAAGAACCTATTATATCCCATTGCTGTTATGTTATGATATATTTATTATGCATTCGAAGAACAATTTCTGGAAATCTAGACGGATTGATAATGTCGGCAACGTCGTAGTGGCACAGGAAATCGTATTTTTATGTGGATTTTCAGAGAGAATGTCATAGGAACGATGGAGGAGCCAAGTTCCTCTTTTATTTATTTTTTCCTGAAGTGAAATTTGATCTTACGAAAAAAAGAGAAAATACGTATATATTGATTTTTCACAAACTTCACAGAGAGACGAGAACCTCAATATAAAAAACTTCCCCATCGTTTCTGATTCGAATACATATAATTAAACGAGAGCCCAGGAATCAGGTAACCTGTCGAGAAGCCAAATTCACTCGATGAGAGATGTCTTTGAGATATGATGCTCCCATAAACATATACTATAAAGGAAATAATCCTTTTCCTTATGAAAGTAATGAAACTCTTCGATTTAAATACGTCATGAATAATATGAAGAAATGTTCGTATTTCCTTCGAATATCTTTTGTCAAGAATATGCGTAAAGGTCAACTGATATTTCAGATTCATATGACATCCGCAATAGTTTTTAATTGATGAGAGCAGTTGATATAAAATTGTTTAAAAACTTGTTCGATTTGCATTACATAAGAGTCTACATCAGCAAGAAGATTTTGTGGCTAAGGTAATCGACCAATGATATCTCTTCTTTAGAAAAACCTACATTCACTATTCTCACTTCTGTTGAATGCAACATGCATTATAGTTTTCAGTGGAAAGTGCAAAGTTAGTCAAATGAATTATGTAGAAATTGTTCATTCTTCACAAACAAAAAGAGCATTCTATGAATGCGAATATTCTAATGATGGAAGATATCATTGGGGAAACAGAATTCTACACCACTTTCAGTTGAATCAAGAATTGAATTGATTATGCGATTATCATAATGATAACATATTGTGTTTACTCATAAAAGCTCCTGGGTGACCTACAATATCATCATCTCCATCCATTCCGAGTTTCGACTTGTATTTACAATCGTTGTTCAGATTATAATCTGGAGAGATCAGAAAATAATCATTTGCCATTGAAAATATAAGTAGAGTTGCCTAGTCTCGAATTTTGTATTTACAGGATCTGATCAGCTCCAAGCTCTCAACATTTCAGTCATCGATACAAGTATATGTCAGGAAAATTATAATATCAGAGGTGATATCATCACGGATGGGATGTTTTGCGCTGGCAACCTCGAAGGAGGAGAAGATGCCTGTGTTGGTGACTCTGGTGGACCTGGTGTCATAAACGGAAAGGTAGCTGGTATCGTTTCTTGGGGACATGGTTGCGCAGAACCAGGCTTTCCTACGGTTTACACAAAAGTTTCTGCCTATTTGGATTGGATATACCAACACAGTTCTATCAAACCTTGAATATATACCATTTTCATATTATTGTTGATATTGATTTATAGATACAGTATTTCCACAGTACATATTCGATTCAGATGTGAAGATGTATGAGTTTTTTTTTCACTGTACCCAATTCATGCTGATATTGAAGCACTGGGAATCTCATGAGAATCTCCAAACTATATTTATATTCCAAATTCGCTCATGATCAATATGAATATGTTTTTCCAAAGGTTTCTTCCCGTCCCCTAACCTTCACGGTATGTTACCCGAAAATTCCCATTAGTGATGGCATTTTCAATCGTTTTTCATTCAATTCATTTTAAGCAAATTTCGTATATTCCAACCAAATGATGACTGTTAAGAGTCGGAACATGTAGCGCGGAACTATTTGCTTTGAATTATTTCAGTTTTGGAGTGTGACTTCAAGTCTTTATCTTCATTATCTGTACATACCGGGTGTTTCAAATTCAATCCTCACCATTGCATATGCAACCAGATGCACTGAGGGAAAAAATTTGTAGCCGTTACTAAAAAATTAGTAACTACAGAAAAATTTTTTGGTACGATAGGGGACAGCAAGCATTAGTTGTTGCCATAACTAATTCTGTTTTTCTGGAAACGCCTATTTGCCTCAAATGAAAAGTTTAGTTGAGTCATCTACGACGTTGTTGTGATAACTAATAAGCCTTTTCAAGGAATAATACCAAGTTTTATTTGCCGCAATCAAGATACATAGTTATGACAATTAGATTGTTAGTACTGTTTCAATATATGTTTGTTATCACAACAAATTATCCCAAATGGGGCAATTACTCATTTCTTCTGACGTTAATAGTGAGTGTGTTGTTGCAAATTAAATATTTAATTGTGACTGAAATGGCACCTAGTTACTATTAAAAGTGATTTAGTAACGTTTGAAATATAATTCAGTTATTCTGACAACTTAGTAGTTTTATATCAATTAAAATCAAGGCCCCATTCTGATAATAACAGTTTGTATGCCATTTTCCTTCCAATTTCCAATGGAATCGTGAACAGGAATACACCACACACCGTGAGTGCCACAGGCCACAGCTCAGCAAAAAGAGAGGGAATTATAAATATACACCGTGTACACGTGACGTCGGTTGGACGTTTCTCACCGTAAACTGAACTGAATTGTGAATAGGTACCTAAACCTGATAACTAGTGACGCACAGATAACGATGGTAAACTGCGAATTATTATTTTGCCAACCAAATGCCAAATGGCTCAGCGCGAAGTGCAAAAAAACACAAAACAGTGATTTGAAAACACACAGAGCAGTGAACCAGCAAGAACACGACGCTCCCGGCTAGACACTAGACAATTATTTTATTTATTTTGTCTAAGCTCGACGACCGTGCGATCTATCCACTATTGAGGTACAATTTCAAATGATGAAACAGAAAGACAAACAGATGCAAGATGCAATTTTTGCCCCGAAGAGACGCGAGGCGGTCCCGAACGACGCAGTACAACTGAAATTATTAGTTATGGCTAAACAATTTCTGCTATGAATAATAATAAACCTTTTACGATGAATGTGTCATCAGTTGTGGCAAATAGTCAGATGTTGTTAGTAACCCCAGAATGAGGTTTTTTAATCCCAATATGAAATTTTAATTGACTGAATAGACAACACTGTAATAATTCTGTCACAAATAGTATTTTTATTGATGACAAATAATTTGCGAAAAATAGAAAAGTCATTTGTAGGAAATAAGGATACGTTGTCATTGTTAATAAAATTCCAAATATTTTTAATTATCAGTACTAAAAAAATACCAACTAGACGTTTTAATTAACCAGTTTTTCTCAGTGTGACGATTCAGTGACGTTTTTTTTACGTCTGCTGAATGACCAAGGTGACGTCATAAGTTGATTTATTGAGTATTTATTTACTTCCGTAACTAAATTAACAGTTACGTCTAGATGATGTCAAAATCACGTACGTATTCGGAGAAGAAACGTATGAAAGTTTCCTCAAACAAAGTGTGATGCAAATCCCTGACCTCTGATGACTACGAAAGTCTGGTCGTGCCATTCCTACTTCAGAGATTTGACGTCATATAAATTTGTTTCATGTTCTATGACTCCTATGGCATTCTACTCTTGGTTGGAGTTGCTTCTTGCTTCGATGTTTGATAGTTCAATGTACTCGATGGCTGATGACCTTGCGAGCGAGAAGTGAAGAGTTTGATAAAAACAAATATTTGTTAATCTATTTATAACCGAATCGATACAATACAACATACATGATATTCTTGTGATAGTAATACAGATTACAGGTTCATGAAGATACTTATAACCTCCTATAATAACATTATCAGATGATACTTTTTCCTCAAGCCTAGTGGTCTGGCCTGTAACGAGGATCGAGGTATAGTAGATCTGATGTATGGAATTTTGGTCAAAATAATGTACATGAATGATATGATATGTGATATATTCCTTCGAATTCCCTTGGTTTTCTGAGGTGGTAGAACTATTTTCGAATATATTGAATGAAATGTCATACTACCTGCCCTGTTGAGGAACTATCATGTGTCAAGCCCGGAATTCTTCCTCTGATATTTGATTCCCAAGTAACAAAATGAATCATTTGATGAAAAGCAAAGTATGTTTATTGACATAAATATTGACTACCTGAAAAAACTTATGATTATTGACAATATGAAACACAAGGCAAGAATTATAATGATTATGATGAAATCACTTATTCTTTTTCTGACAGGTAGGTAGTTATTATAAGAATCTTCTTGTTTTCATTGTTTTCATGTTTATTTCTTCTAGGAAAAACTGAGGAGTTATTTTGAACCATATTCCAAGATTTTCAACTGGTGAACATGGAAATGATAATATATGCAATAATATGCATATTATGTATTATATTATCATGTACAATTATTCACATTTGAGAACTAGGTAATACCTAAGAGAAGCATTTCCGCTGACACATTTGTTGCATGTATTTATTCTATGGAACTATGGGTAATTCAGGCATCTCAAGTAACTACCTACCAATTATAGATTCGAAGGAAATCATATAGGTATAGGTTAACATTGAAATAATGGAAATGTCTAGTTGAAATTATATAATATTCAGAATAAATAACATCATCTTCAGAATGAATTATAAGATCACAGTCTGATCACATTGAGAATGATAAGAGTGTCTACTCGGAGAAATATAAGATCACATTATTGTGAGGTGAGTAGCTAATATTCCTAGTATGATTATGAATAATATCAAATCACTAATGGAACTCTGCTGCTAACCCTCATTACACTTCCTCTTCAAAATCAGTAGGTAGGTATTTTTTCTTATACAGCAGAATTACTTGGCACACTCGTTGCACTCAACCCAAACCTCACGATTTACCTTTTATTATATCCGAGTATGGAAGAAATCTACAATAATATGAGCTATTTCTCCCACCTAGCAACAATTATTCAATATTCAAAGCATGGTGGAAATAATGAACAAATTATCAAATGAATCGAATAATCATGTTTCATGATTGCCTTAAAATTTAAAATTAATAGTTATTCAAATATCGAGGTAGTAAAGAATATCATTATTACTCAGGATCTAAGGTTTTATAACGAGGCTTCAGCCGACGGATATGAGGTCCCGTGGTAAAAGTATTCTTCATATTCTCCACTACCCATCAGGGTTATATTACATGTCTTTCACCACCAGCAATTTCTTTCAATCATTAAAGCTTTGTGAAACTGCGAAATTTGGACCTATGTCACTATAAAAGCATGTCTTTTCAATTCTAATTGAAATCTAGTCACCATGACAGCATTTGACAAGTAGTCATTGATTAATACCATTCCTATGAATATCGCATCAGAACAGTGAATACAGGTTAATTATAACAAAGGTGGCTATGTCTTTATTGACTAGAGGTTCATAAAATGATGAAAACTATCTTGGTAGTAAAAACACACTTTACGCTTTCAAAATGAATGAATAAGCGAAGTTTCCATAGCTAGTGGTGAAAAATAGTACATTGTTTCATCAGGATCAAATGTGACACATTATTCGACAAGCGATATTAGCGTTTTCGAAGGAGCGACCGCGAGCCGAGCACGCATATTTCGGAAGTCAAACAGAGTCACTTTTGATCCGAATGAAACATGCAATTATTTCTGCAGTCGGAACAATTGATATCTAATGAATAAAATAAATAATGTGAAACCACACTCGTAATAGTACCATGGGGTGACGAAATTCCTCTCAACATCTATGAATTAACTTGATGATGCATTGATTGATATTGAATTTTATTATTTTGATTCAATTTTAATATTTGGAGTTTGCTAAAGTTGTCGGCGTCAATGAATATGTTATTATCGATGATTCTAATTGAAGCTGCACCTATTGGGTGTTTTTATTTTGAAATCATCTCATTCATTCATTGCTGATCATTTGTGATTTGCCTCTGCTTGAGAGTAATCGAATGGGATGTTAGATCTTTATTGATCGAATCTGATCGACAATTTCTTACCTAATGATGTATCTGCATCTTCGTATTTTGTTATAACTACATTGAGAACTTTTCCGGAAACTGAATAGATCAATGTATGGAAAACCATGAGTAGGGTGGATTTTTCAATTTGGTGGCATACTTATGTTAATTGTGGTAATTTGGCTGAAATATTTTCAAGATGGAGTCACTTCCGGTCAAACCAGTAAATAATGTCAACTTGCTTATTTCAAATAGAAAAGAAATACGAAAAATAGGAAGTCTAAACATAATTATCAATTTCTCCTTTGTGAAAGATTTCGTTAATCAATTGATATAGTTGGTTCCCATATGGAAAATGAGCTACTTCAGTATACTGTGTTGATATTTTGATAATGAATGAATACAGGAATGATACCATGGACGTATATATACGTCCATGAATGATACGAAATCGTTGAAGGCAATTTTTTATCGAGAGGAAATACCTTTTTTTCATTATTTCATAATATTCACCGTCAAAATTGAGGGTAACTTTGTATGAGATTCTCTATTCCAAAAACGTGTAGTTTTCGGAATATTTGCGTCAACATATCTAACTCAGTTCCAGGAAATCGCGTATTCTT